TAAATTAATAATTTCAAGAGCAAGATTTATATAGTTTGGTATACCTGTTCTTTTTTGTATATTTATATTTTCACTCTATTCTCAATAACTAATTGCACGTTTATGACGCATCATCCGTTTAGTGGTCTGAAATTCGTTTTCGATAGTGGATCAAAATTCCAATTTTATTTGTTATTCCAAATTTTTTTCTATAAAATCTAGCAAAGTCTTTTCATTCCTCCGAAAACAAATACACTTCAGAGTTTTCTGTGCAGATTTATATTTTCTTATTAACCTTCAACTCTTTTTCGTTCGCTGTATGAAATGATTTTCAAAGTCTAATACAAGACCTTGCTCTTGTTCGGCATAGTTGTTGCTTCAATTTACTAATCCCATTCTGCAGCCCCCACTATTAAAAAATGACAAACCGCAAACTGGATCCAAAAAAACGAGCAAGCAGCAGACGTTTAGAATCCTTACATAAAATCACGAAGCATCATCGTGCCTTTTTTAAACGTTTTTGTCGTGTGATAAATTGCGCACTAAATTTCATCTCACAGCGACTATTGACAGTAACGCAAGCCCAGGAAGGTAGTTACCTGAGTCACTGTCAACTCTGTGCCTGGTCAGCGGTACTCACTCAGCTGTCAAACGAAGTGGACTTGTAAGAGCTAAGTCTGCCGATCTTGCTAACTGGCCGAGTGAATTAAGTCGCGAAAAACATAACCTTGAGGAAAATTTGTATTTGTTTCTAAGAGTTTCAATAGTTGCAGGGTTTTCACAGGAAATACTTACTGTTTAACAGTTAATAATAAAATTTTTAGTAGCATTTTATGCGTTGGCATCAGCAATATTCGGCTTTGCTGTAAAGACAACACGGGTTTCTCTGGCGAAGGTCAGAAGATCCGATCCAAGAATCAGTAGTAAGGTTTCTGCAACGAAATTGAAAATCGTGAGGTTTCAAGCTTGAGTGCGATTCTACAATAACTAAATTCCAATACATTTGTGTAAAATCAGCGTAAAATACAGTTATCGGTAGCAAAGATAAGAACGAACGCTCTCACGGAATCATCGGATGGACTAGATAGTTTTACAGTACTACATATAGCTTGAAATAAGCTTGCCTTCGCGGGGTCAGGTTCTACTAACTAACGAATTGAAGTGGAGCTGACTGTCAGTAGCGAGATTGACTGCACATTTTATACTAGTAAGGCGGAAGCAATTATCAAGGATCGGTTAACAATTGCCATGGTCCATGGACTATAGTTTCAGAAATACTTTATTGCTACCACTGTGACAGAAATTCCTCACCACACGGAGGAAGATGATGTGTAGAATTTAAAAATGTCGGGCGTATAGTCAATGTGATCTGGGTTTAAATGAGGAACTACACGTTTAATTTGGTTCTCAAACTACGCACCTCTGTAACAGGTTGATTCGTTAAAATTTGAAATGCTGAGGTTCGTCTTCGGTGTTTCATTCTCCCCTAATGAGCGTTAATTGTTAGCGTAAACAGCGTAGGTCATGGGTAGCTGTACTACTGTAGCGTGTTAGTTGCGGTTTAGCAACGTAGTTGATAGGGTTATTTAGGGTAATATCGTGGAGCGGCTTATGGATAGTACGATTAGTACGTGTGTACTACCCACTGAGTCGGCGTGTCTAATATGTAGTATTGGTTTTTCATTTATTTATTATCAATCAACCTGTTTCACTGTCATAATCCATAAGTATCATCCGAGTTATGTAGGATAGGTCCAGAATCAGCCTCACTAAAGTCGTAGAGTTTTGATCAATTTATTATTTTGAAATGTGGCACAGCGGCGAACGATATAAATTTATGAATCTTTATGGATGTAATTTTATTGAACAAGTTAATCCAAAGAGCCCGCTGAATTTTTATTATCTGAGGCATGATTCATGATTCATGATGAGTCATCGGATTCGCACATGAATTTGATTCTGATCTTATTCATATTAACAATCACATCGCATATTAATCTGATTCTGAGGCATGATTCCCGAATGAACTGTCATGACGATCGCAGTTTCTTTTCCAGTATTATTCGATTGGTATATGTCGGGAGTAGTTAAACAAGTTAGCTAGAAAGTTGATACGTTGTTGAAAAACGTAAAAAAAGTCACATCTCGTAGGAAGGCCACTGCCCTTGCACGGTGCACGCACGTTGACTAACGCGTGCGGGCGTCCGTAGCCTCGTGTAAGCTAAGCTCTTGTCAGTCTTCGTTTTTGTGGTACAACCTACCTACTCTATTAGGAACTGGTCGGTTACGTACAGTAATACCGCGTACCGACTCATTTCGAGTGTCTTCGTTATTGTTGTACTACCACTCTTTCCACTAGTACCCTAAGCTGAATAGACTGCAAGAAACTTCTGGCAGTTGTGTTTTCGTTTCATTTATTCATCTTTCCACTTATTTCGATACTCTAGTAAGGCAGGTCCGAGATAACGCGAAGAATCGTCAAGTTTTTCCTCGACTAGAAGCACCTCTTCAACTTGCCTGACTTAGTGGAGGGATGTCACAATTTGCCATCATTGCAATTGCCAATTTATGTATTCCGTTTAACATGGACAGAAGTACCGGCAATTATGATGCGCCTAAAGTTAAAACATTTATTACAAGTGGATCGATCTCGAAAATGCCTCGTGTACTACCATGTTTCGTAAATAGATGTACTAAAACTTAGAACAGCGGCATCTTCTTTATAACTTAGTAACCGAGATGAGGATCGTTTGGCAACATGCGCTAGTCATTTCAATCTACCATGCAGAGGAAAATTTTCAAGAACTTACTATTAACAATTCGACATCCGCTTGTAAAAATTTATATTTACAACATATTAATTCATGTGCGCTGACAAATAAATAACATATAATCAATAATGATGAAACTCTAACAAGAGGTTCGATTGAGAGGTTCAGCAGTTCACTCAGGCTACTTCAATCACAACTGTTCCACTTCACTTGAGACCGACTCTTGTGACAATTACCGTAAGAATTGTTATCATTTCCAAAGTGCCTTAAAATACGTTAAGCACTTCAGACTGGGACATACATCCGGTATTATTCAGGGTATGGAAAGACAAAAGAAACTGAGAATTTAATAAAGGTTAAAGGTTCCGCTCACAGTAGATTCATTGATGAAATCGGCGATTGCAAAAAAGCCGTCTGAAATTCTACAGATACAAGATTTCAACTAGAATGAATGCATAACACAAAAACCTGTCTAATGCAGTTGTAAAGCAAAATAACTACGTGTCAGAAGAGAATTTTGACAAATAATTCTACCTCGAAAAATTGTAACTTCTTATACAATTCCATAACTTTTATAGCACGTGGATTAAAGGAAAGAAGAATTTGATTGCATATCTTGAAAAAAAGGACTATTAAGTCCAAAGTGTTTGTTAGATCAACAATTGTTTCACCTAATAGTCAAACTCACTATAGTCACGCATTTAATGTAACAAAAATTTCCGTTCAATAAAGAATAAGAAAAATACACTTGTTTTTTCTATGCACCAATTATCTGAAGCCGCAAACAAAACAAAAATGACTAACTACAAAACAAAAACGAGAGGCGTATCCGTTGGAACGTATTTCTGCCACAGAACGAGTATCAAATTCTAATTTCAAACCAACGAGCTGAGTAACCTAAATACAGTAGGGGGACGATCACTGGAGGAAAAGATAACTCCAGTAATATGCGAATCGGATGAATATTAAATTTTGTTAACTAAGAATCTAGTTAATCAACTTGGATGAAATGGGACGATCGCTCGAACAAAAAAAAGATGACCGGGAGAATCGGCCAACGGAACGAAAATTAGCATTACAATTTACCATCCGTTTGAGTACTTGGACAAAATAAGGGTGATCAAATGAAATAAAGTTAACTGAAATAATTGGCTAATGGCATGAGAATTAACATGTTGATAACTAACCAAGCCGTGTAACTTGAATTTAGGCGATCCGTGTAAAGCGATCAACGGAAAAAAATATTGACTGAACTGATCGGCCAACCTTCATGATTTTCAATGAAAACTAGAGCTTCCATTCAAGCTCAATGGAGACTCTCCCCAGAGTTCATCGAACTCTTCTTTGCAATGAGAAAGCCACCTCTGAGCGGAGTCAGGACGTTGTTTTTCATCGACAGCCGCGGATCTTGAATGAATTCCTTCTTCATGTTCGCGTTTTATCGTTGAAGGTATCAGACTGAAACGGAACGAGGGATTCTCAGAAGAAACCGAGATTGATTGTGAATAATTACATAGTTTAGATCCAGAACTGCCAAGATCCGCGGATGCTGTAAGATCATGGCTGCGACTCGTGTGTCTTCCGTGGGACACAGACCGGAAAGAGAGACGATCGCGGACAGGTAATTTCTTGTAGAAGGTTGTGACGGAAGAATCTTGATGAAGCAAGTGACCACCTTCAACGCGAGATGGATCAGAACCCGTCGTTCGTTTTCTAGCCGCCGGCTCAGGTAGAAAATAAGGAGTGTGATGTCCATTGCGGAAGCCATGTTGGCGAATAGGCCTCATTGGTCGGTTGTAACGGTTGGAGTGAGTATTCTCTCCGAAGGAGGCCTCAAACAAAGGGTTATCCATTCGAGGCGGGTTGGCCATTCGAGGCTTGTAGGTCATTCGATGACGGTTGCTCATGTCTGAACACTCGATCCTATGCGATGAGTGATCTCCCGAAAAGTTTCGCTCTTCTGCCCCCAAGTAAAGCGGACCATTCCTGTTATAAAGAGGTGAACAATCCATGTAATGACGAGATGGTCCATTCATGTGGTAACGTGGTTGACCATCCATGTAATGCTCAGGACCATCCATATTATACTCAAGTGAATCATCCATTTGATGTTCAGGAGGACCATCCATGTGATACTCAAGGGTACCATATATTTGATGCCCAGGAGGTCCATCCATATCATATTCAAGTGGATCATCCATGCGATGCTGTGACGGACCATCCATGTAACGCTCAGGTGGACCATTCATGCTATGCAGTGGCAAACCATCCTTGCGATGCTGTGGTGGACCATCCATGAGGTGCTGTGGCGGACCATCCATGAGGTGCTGTGGTGGACCATCCATGAGGTGCTGTGATGGACCATCCATACGATGCTGTGGTGGACCATCCATGTGGTGCTGTGGCGGACCATCCATGTGGTGTTGTGGCGGACCAACCATGTGGTGCTGTGTCCATGTGCTGCTGTGGCGGACCAACCATGTGGTGCAGTGGCGGACCATCCATGTGGTGCTGTGGCGGACCATCCATGTGCTGCTGTGGCGGACCATCCATGTGCTGCTGTGGCGGACCATCCATGCGATGCTGTGGTGGACCATTCATGTGCTGCTGTGGCGGACCATCCATGTGGTGCTGTGGCGGACCATTAATGTGCTGCTGTGGCGGGCCAACCATGTGGTGCTGTGGCGGACCATCCATGCGATGCTGTGGTGGACCATCCATGTGGTGCTGTGGCGGACCATCCATGTGATGCTGTGATGGACCATCCATGTGCTGCTGTGGCGGACCATCCATGCGATGCTGTGGCGGACCATCCATGTGGTGCTGTGACGGACCATCGATGTGGTGTTGTGGCGGACCATCGATGTGGTGTTGTGGCGGACCATCCATGTGGTGCTGTGGCGGACCATCCATGAGGTGCTGTGACGGACCATCCATGTGGTGCTGTGACGGACCATCCATGCGATGATGCGTAACTTCCACGTAGAGGCCTGTTTGACCACCTTCGCGAATTGGAAGTCCACTGAGATAATTTGGATGGGAATGCCGAGGCCCAAGTTCTGCTCTGGGAAAGCGGTGACTAGCATCTGGCGAACGGCGACTGGTACTTGAAGAGCGACGACTGGCACCAGGAGACCGGCGACTGGCACCGGGAGACCGGCGACTGGCACCGGGAGACCGGCGACTGGCACCAGAGGACCGGCGACTGGCACCAGAAGACCGGCGACTGGCACCAGGAGACCGGCGACTGGCACCAGGAGACCGGCGACTGGCACTAGAAGACCGGCGACTGGCACCAGAAGACCGGCGACTGGCACCAGGAGACCGGTGACTGCCACCGGAAGAATGGCGACTGGCACCAGGAGACCGGCGACTGGCACCAGAAGACCGGCGACTGACACTGGCAGAACGGCGACTGGTACCGGTAGCGGGACGACCGACACCGGAAGAGCTTCGACTTGCATCAGAAGAACAGCAATTGGGAGCAGGGCAAATATTAGCGTCAGATTTGGATCGGATCGTAGCATCAGATCCACTCCCACAAGATGATGTCCTGTCCTCAAGATGCACGTCCAAGAGATCATCACCACGATCATTCTCAAATTGAATTCCTTTTCCGTCGCTAGGAGGCAGTTCACCCTCTTCGAGCGACTCTTGCTTCTCTAGAATTGAAGGACTGTGTTTTTGGATAGCAGTTTCATCGTCGTTATTATTCATATTTGTCGACTGCTCCTGTTTCTGATGATCTGACACACTATTTTGGATGAACTTAGATTGAGCTTTGAGCTTCAACACAAATGGCGATTCAAACGTAGTCTTCTTCGTACTAGGATTGTCAAGATTTTGAGCTTTTCTTTCAACAAAGCTTTTAGAATTTTGATCGGCTTTACTGGACTTCTTCAGATTCACTGAAGACACAGATGCCGTGTCATTAGAAATAAGTTCAAATAGCTGAGAACCGATCGGAATTTCTTCTAAGCCACATGAATCGTTCTTTTTCGTTGTCAGTTTTTGACGAAGCTCAAGGATCGGGCGCAAGAGAGATGCTCTTTTGCTCAATGGTCTAGGTTTTGAAGCCGTATTGATGGCACGTAATGGGGACCGTGGTGTACGCGTGCTGGACGAGGGAGAGGACGTTTTCCCGAAACAAATGAGATGAGATGACGACGTTTCTGATACAGGAGCATGCGGTGTGACTTTGATTTGTGGTTGATGTACAGAGTCAACTTTGTCGGTTTGAGACCTGTCGCCCAACAGCCCTCCAACTTCCTCTTTATCCACACAAAAGCTTATATTGACAGCGTCGTTGCTGTGAGTTGAACATGAATCTCCAACTTCATCACTCAAATCAGAGTCAATTGCCGACGGCGGACATTGATCGAGTACGTTTGGAGAATTTAGAGAATTATTGAGGCTCGTACTTAGAGATTCCCGATCAATAGTAATGCTAGTAAATTGTGAAGATTTCGGTATGGTTGCCGATTCAAGAGTGGCAGGATCTTCGGCAGGCAGAAGCGCTTCAATGTTATTAATATGAGGTAAGTCATCAGCCTCATCCGATGAAAGAAATAACTTGAGTTCATCTTCATCTGAAAGATATCCAGCTTTAGTATTGTCCATACATTGATTCTCATTATTTGGCTCATTATTCTTCGGTTGTATTTCGCTTACACCTATGAGACCAGCGTGACTATCAAGGCTGCCGTTGGTACAGTCCGAATCACATGAATACGTAAATTCAACGTTTTCACAACCTATTCCGGCTTCAAGGTAATTACGGCTTACTACTAATGCGTCTTCTCTAAACCTCAAGTTTTGTTCATCAGTAGCGGCGTCAGGATAACCAGAGTCATGGTCGATGCCCAGCGGAGATGAGGGCGCACAATTCAATAAGACAGGAGTCTCTAAACGAACGGCATTGAAGGATGACGAAGGGTCAACATCCATTCCACTGCTACTGTCATCGTCGCATGAGATTTCGCTCAAAAGGTCGAAATAATGCTTTGATTCATAGTCTGCTCCACTACGAGGCGCATTGATCAAGTCTTGTTTAGCAATTGATTGAAGCTTGTCGTCAGGGGAGCAATTCAAAACGCTTCCGAGAAGAGCGTCTTGAAAGTTATTATTCGCGTCCTTATCAGGTTGTGCAAGGTCTCCATGAGGAGCCTGATGATTTGTGTTCACGACATCCAGAGCTTCGTTTACGATGAAGTCAAGATCGGCATAAACGTTTTCGCCAGACTCGTTCATCGGAAAATTAGCGTCTACAGTCGAAGTTTCACGAGCAGCGGACAAGGATTGCAACTGATTGCCGTCAATAGCGCTCTCAAAGTTATGGTCGAAATTGGCGAGAGGCTCACAGGGAGCCGCGGGTAATGATGACGAGGTCATATTCATGACTGCATTGCACATGCATGAGTAAGAATCATCGTAATTATCTTCTTCGAGAGGCATGTGTGTTGATGCCTCATATTGAACAAAGGGCGAAGATCCCATCTGATATTGTGTGTGGCTGGGGTTGTGATGCTCACTCGAAATGATGTCAACCATACAAAAACCTCCGGCCGCTTCATCGTAATCTGTCTCAACAGCTGATCCATCTGCATCACCACAACCATATTGGGGTCTCTCGCAAACTTCATTTGAATGCAATTCATTGCAATCGGTTGACGTTCCCGGAAGATTTCCAATCACGCCGATGGTTGGTTCACTTTCCACTTGATTCAATTTGCGTTTTTTCTCGCCCTTGGAAGCGTGGAATTCAGAATCGAGTTGACTCTGGTCCAAGCCAGAATTTTGCGCTTGGAGGTTGGTTGCTTCAACAAACTTCCTCTTGACAGAAGATCGCGATTTGGTAGCATGTGAGGCCTGACATCTGGACGGTGCGTGCGCAGAAACCAACCCACCATTCGCAGGCTTCTGATGTACAGATGAGGTCGCTTGTGCTACGGATGGAGTTGCTTGTGCTACGGATGGAGTTGCTTGCGGCACGGTAGGAGTCGCGCCAAAACAAGCAGATAAGTCAGCGTCCTGCACAGACAGTATTTCAGTGAGGTACATGATATTCTATAAGGGTAACGCTATCGATCTCAGATGAACATGCACTCGAGAATTCAATGGACGAGACCCTGACCAATGTTGGTGGTCCCCACCAACATTGGTCAGGGTCCCGGTAGTGAGGACCCATAACAGGGCCTAATTACACCTAATTAGTATTCAACACACTAGTAAGTTTGAAACTTCATTAATCATGGTACCATAGCTTCAATAAATTTGTTTGACAAACACTCCTTAATTCTAGATTCCATGTCCAATGCTCAAGATGGTACATCAAACTCCAGTCGAGAAATAACTCTTTCTCTTCCAAGGCAAAATTATACTTGGTATTCCAACAAAATTCACGACTCTTGCGACAAAATACTTCAACACTGGTACGGAAGAAACTTTAATTCTAGGGACTGGAATAAATACTAAATTTTAGTTATTCCGACACTTGCAATTGAAATGAAAGTTAATCTGTGAAGTTTTGATGGGAAAAGTGTGTACGTATTGTACTAAACTAAAGTACAACGGACATGTGATTCAATGGCATATCAATGTTCATGTATACAAATAATAATATTAATACAAGGTAAATGAAGCTATATAGATTTTCGACCCAATGCATGACCATCACAGTAGTTGACGTAAATAAACTGCAATAAAAAATAAGACAAATAGCGAAAGTAGACGTCAAGGAGGAAAAAAATATATGGAGGTATGTAGCTCAGTAGAAAAAAGATATCAAGATAAAGCGAAAAAGATAGCATGGAAAATGCACCAACATAATACAAATGGTAATATTTTTCTCCAGCTCAAGAAATACCATTTCTTCCAGCTCAACTCTCGCAAAGAAAGTTGCAGAGAAACGTACCAAGATTTTCTTGATAAGGACGAGCTCGTGCCAGTAGGTGTGGCGAAGAACGCTGGTGGAGCTGCCACAGCTTAAGAGGTCGTTGGTCGAGGTCGGGGTGCTGGAGCAACTGGGACCGTCGTTGGTCGAGGTTGGGGAGCAAATAGGGCTCGGAGCGGTGGTGGAGGTAATCCTTTCACTCCCCCTCTCCAAGGTCTGCTCGGCAATAAAGACCGTTTAGGCAATGCACAGGAATTGTATCGAGGGGGTGTGTGCTGCATTGGTAATTCAAAGAGCTGGGCGCTGCGATAGGCACAGAATCTACAGGGTTTAACGTTTGAGACAGAATAACGGGTAAAAGGGTGGCCTCGTGGTCACGGTTCTGAATGTTATAAAATTGAGTATCCAAGACCCGCAACAAGCTGTTAAGATATTAACTGACGCCACTATTATAATTCGTAACCGAACACTAACGAGAGCTTCATTCCATACACCTGTCAATACAGCAGCGAAATAATATTAATAATTACATATCAATCTGAACATTATTCTTGTCTGCTCGAACGGGCTGTGGAGCACTTGCCTGCAGTGAAGCACTTGCCTGCAGTGTAGCATTTGCCTGCAGTGGAGCATTTGCCTGCAGTGAAGCATTTGCCTGCAGTGAGGCACTTGCCTGCAGTGATCAGTGAAGCACTTGCCTGCAGTGAAGCACTTGCCTGCAGTGAAGCATTTGCCTGCAGTGAAGCAGTGAGCGAAGCCATGCCCTGTACCTCCTTGACCTCCTCCCGCACCACTACCGTGTCCAGGGATGCAGCCAACCAGTCGACTGCTGGAAGGTGACGACCTGCACGCCAAATTTACCATAATTACTAACGTGAAAATACAATTAGCCGCCATTAAGAACTTAATACAATCAGGCACATGCCTGATACCACATATATTTCATGGCGATTCGCTGAAACGTGCACACAATTTTAACAGACACAGTCAAGTATAAAAAATAGCATCAACAAACTAATTATGTTCATTTAATACTCACACATCAATAATTGAATAGGGTTATTTGTTGCATAAGAAATAGGAAGAATAAGGAACTCGGAAAAGACACGGAGCAGATAGAATTGTTCGTAGATTATATTGGACATGAAACATGCATTTAAAAAATCACATATGAACATTTTAACGCATCAGATCCTAAAGAATGAGGAACTATAACATAGAGAACTTAAAAAGACATGGAGCAGACCGAATTGTTTGCAGATCATGTTGGACATGACTCGTAGGCTGGTAACGGAGTTTGTGTAGTGGAGTTTGCTGCGTAGGTGACTCCTGAACATGTACACGGGGCCGCTCACGCGGCAATCGCACGTCATACATACGTGGAGCTCCTGAGTCAGCGATAACAGCTGATGAGGATACATCTAATAGAGGGTTGCGTTTGGAAGAGGGGAAAGTTATATCATTTCAATTTATTAATTTACTCATACAGTACTATATTTACTCAATATATTCCCTTGCTTGTCAATCAAGATGGCAAGATGAAAATGATAAAATCGAAAGGGGAAAACAAGGAACGACAATGAAAAATATTGTGGAATGAATAGATATGAGAGAAGAAGAGAAATAAGAAATAATAATTTGACATATTTGACTGACTTCTTTTTTGGCGCAGGCGATGGCTTTCTCTTCTTTCTTGACCAATCTAGGGTTATAGCCCGTCCACATCCTGTCAAATTAGGGAGTACACAGATGAAAAGCATACAAGATGTAGGTACATATATATTACCTAGGTACTCTTTCACATATGAATAATTAAAAATCGTTCTTAAAGAAATTACGGTACTTAAAGTTTACAACAAGAATTCTAGCTGGAACTATGTAAAAATGAGCAAAACTTTGAAATTCACATAATTTCGTGAGTACAAATGATATTTACTTCAAGTCAATTACTTTACAGTAAGCACAAGTAACCCTGATTATTTATTTGCAGTGGCAACTGATATTTTGTATACCAAGTTTATAAGTTCACATACAGGAAAATCTGATATAGGTATTTGAACATGAACTCAACAGCTGTTATCCTCTAATTGAAGGTAGTTAAATTATAGAAATCCTCTGCAATAATTATGAGTAACTTTGTGAAATCTCACGTGCAAACAGAACAAGTATAAATACTAAGAAAGCCCAATGACCTGTACGAAACGTCGTCTCGCTTGTAGACCGAAGGTTCATACAGGTTGTTCAGCGCCACGATCTTCTTCTGGATAGGAGAGCTATGGCGAGGCAGGGCGTAGAGCTGCAGAGGGGACAATTTCCTGGGAGTTGACTTCAGCGTACACGATGGAGAGCCCGAGCTAACGCAGAGGACTTCACTTGATGCGTCGTTATTTGCGCTAGTGGCCTTAGCGCTGGCAGCTCCATTGGCCTTTGCGTCGGCAACGCCAGTGGCCTTAGCGCCGGCAGCGCCAGTGGCCTTAGCGCCTGCAGCGGTTGTCTTTGCGCCGGCAGCGCTAGTGGCCTTAGCGCCGGCAGCGCCAGTGGCCTTTGCACCGGCAGCGCTAGTGGCCTTTGCGCCGGCAGCGCCATTGGCCTTTGCGCCAGCAGCGCTAGTGATCTTTGCGTCGGCAGCGCTAGTGGTCTTGGCGCTGGTAGCGCTGGTGGCCTTTGCTCGGACATCATGAGCAGCTGTGTCGAGCTCGGCGCTCTCGGAAGAATCTCCAGTGGCTTGGCCGTCGTCAATTGTATTATAAATTTTATTCGAAGATGGCGAGGGAGTCTTCAGAAGGGATTCAAACGACGGCTGGTTGGAGGTGGCATGATGAGAACTCGAAGTCTGAAATTGACTTGAACAGGGCATGACGGACGAGGAACCACCCATAGTATGAGAAGCAGCGGGCAAGGATGCATTAGATTCTGATCTGACAAGTGATGGGAACTGGGAGTTGGCATCGTTGGTAACATTATCGGACAATTTTTCCATACGACAGTTTTCATCAAATTTGCGCTGATGCTTCTGAGGTGAAATAGAACCTGAACCAGCGACTCTAACGCTTCCAACTTCTGTGACACTAGATAGAAACTTTTGACCGAAATTGGGACCTATTGGCGATTCAACAATGTTTTCTATTTGATCGGAGTGTTTGGAAGTAGTCGGACTGTCGTTTGTTTGAGGATGCTTTTGAGGAGTTTCGCGGTGCCTAAAAGGCTGCAGTAAAGTAGCAGCGTCACCATCTGACACAGTGTTTGTCTTCATGGACACTTCCTTGCTTGGAGACTTTGTATGGGACATGGGCTTGAAGTAAGTTTTCTGCTTGCTTTCACTGTGGGTAGAACGCGATTTGACGGAAGACGGACCTGGGTCCGAAATTTCATCTGAACAACGGCCAAATGAAGGAGGCGATATATTAGAACGCTTGCCTCTTCGATTACTGGCCGGGTCTGCCTTCTTCCGCTTGCACGGAGTCAAGACTTGAGCGCGGTCTATCAGAACCGAGGGCTGAATTGCACACCATTTCCTCCATTGGTCGCTCATGCGATGTCTACGAATGTGAGAATCCCTTTGCAGTGAGAGCTTTGCGGTCATGATCCTTGGGTCCATTATGAAGTGGTCAGCATTTAGCCCGTAGAACGTTGGAGACTCCCTTGCCATCTTCCCGGTAGGCTTCCATAAAACTCTTGCTTTTGGTTGTTTGACAGCGCTGGAGAATTTAATACTGCGCGAACACTGGTAGCGGTCGAAACCATAGATGACAATGAGGGTGAAATCGTTCTCAAGGCAAATAGCATTACGAAGAGCAGGAAATTGGTCGTAATTATCAGCCATCGTGTTAACGATCAGGTGGATGGTTTTTCCAGCGATGGAAAGAGGACGGAGATTATGGCTACCACCAGTAGAGAAGAACGGGATCAGCTTCAGATACGGTAGAGTCATCTGGTCAGACTCTTCTTTAAACAATAAAACGTTGCCGGGTAGGGTATAGGTAGAAAAATTCAATGGCTTGAGAATCTTCAGTCGTAAGAAATAGTTAGTTTTGCAGGCATACAAGGGAGGAAGGATCGACATTAAAGAGCATGTAAACATGAGAATCATCTTAGAATCATCTGCCATTTTGATGGAGCCGTTAACTTCCAAATTCACAGGTAAATTGCAACTATAAACTGTGCCTTGTGCAGAACGCGATTTGCTTTGATTACGAGGTTTAGCTTGTAAGGAATGTTGGACGGCGCTATTAGGAGCAGAGGAGCAACAGCTGACATCAGGTGAATCACTTTTTGTTTCATCTATCTGAACAGCTTTAGCTTCTTGACTGACCTGAGAATCGTCGATACTTTTAATGTCACTCAATTCATGAGAGGAACACAAAGGCGACTTGAAGACTTGACGAGAAACCATAAAGGTTCCTTCTTTCGAGGGGCCTTGATTTTGATCTACTGCCCGAGGTAGTTGTACAGTATTATTAACGTCAACACTTTTATCGATGGGTTCGTTGGCAAATTTGGATATGCCAGGTTCATTCCGAGGCAAAGCTTTGGTGAACCCATGAATTTTTCTTCTTTTCACGGCTCTCTTGCAAGATACCTTATCTTCCAGTTTCCCTTTGAACGTCATGCGAGGGGAGACGGGAATCTTGGAAGAAATTTTCTGCTTACTTTTAGTAGGTGGACGATAGCCAGAAGAATCGGTTTTCACTCCTCTGACACGAGAGTTCTCAATGTTTTTTATAGCTGAAGCTGAAAATTCCAACTTGGGAACAATTTCGCTTTTAACCACGCATAAATCAACATGTGGAGTTCCATAACCGCTTTCACTACTAGGTCCAGGCTTTGCGTAGGACAGCACTAGGTCGCAACCACTTACACCTTTAACTAACGAAGAGGTAGTGGATTCATCTTGGGCCTGTTTCTTTAAATTTAGACTAAGATCCGATTTCAGTGATGATGCGGCTGTCTCGATTTCACACTTCTGGGAAATTTTCAGCATATTTCGGGCGGTATGGCTAGGAGATGAATTTCTCCTTAACACCTTTTCTATGGTTTCACGGTAACTTATCAGATATTCTTTGTTTCGTTCAACTTTTTCGTTATTTGAGGTAGATTTAAAATCAGGCGTGGGTTTCTCCGATTTGACACAGGTTGCTTGTTCTAACAAGCCACTATGAGATCCCTTTCTCGCTTGCTGCGGGACGCACTCTTTATCAACAGCAGTGATGATATTAGAGAACTTGCTAGAACTAGTACAGTAGTTGGCGGAAGATCGTTTCACCAGATTAGCTCCAGAAGTTTCCTTGCAACGAGATTTTGTCACGTTATCGCCAGAGAATTTAGACGTAAGATTAACAGGCTTGCTAGTATCAAGGACTTGAGGTCTTCGATTCCTTACTGAAGTCGATTCATTGCCCGGGTTATGTTCTCCAGCTGGCAATGGGAATTTCTTCAGATTCCTGAAACTTTTTGAGAGATTAGGAGACTTTTTCTGCTTTGAATAACTCCTACGCTCCTTTCCATGAATGGAACGAGATGGGGTATCTTCGACGGCTCCTTCAGTTGAATCTGGGACCGCCTTGACGATGAGCTCCAGGTCCCGCGACCCATCACAATTCCTGCAATGAAAGGACTATCGTAATTGAAAGAAATTTAGAGTGGTATCGTTTATTCGCACGCATCTGACATGCAAAAATTGAGCAATACTCTTTCAGTGAAAATTTTTAAAATCCATTTAAATTTAGAACGATCAGGCCGATTTGAAAGTTAGCAAAGACAGGACTAACTTTCTCTTCACATCTCCACATGTAGAAAACTCTCCAACACATTCAACACATTTTAGGTACACTTAACTGCATAGGTATTAAAATATAGGCTTAAATTAAGAAGATGGCTAGACTGAGAAAAAAAATTAAAGTAAAAATTGAAACCTATAAAGAATTGCAGCGTATACATGCATGGAGTGCACATAACAAGGCATGTGTTCCTCGGGCCGTAGTATGTATACCCAAACCTACTTCACACTATCATCTCAATATTGCAGCTAGTTAGCATAAGCTCAGATTCAACACATCCTTTGGAGGAAGCCATACACCAAATAATGCAAAAAAAAAGTATTATTGGATTTCAAAACAGATAAATACTAGCATATATATATATATATTTTTTGGGGATAAAACAAACATAATAATTGTTTTCTGAGGAAAAAACACGATAACGTAAGAGAAACTGCAAAGCCATTCAAATACTATGATGAAATTAAATTACTAGTTTAAGATCGAACTGATTGGTTAGAAAAATTACACACACTAAGATAGTAGATGACCTGACTGAGATTGGTCATCAATAATTAGACACACTTTAACAAACCTTGGCAAGACTGGATTTGGCTTGCTGACGTCCATGTTCTCTCCAGAAGCTGAAAGGCAAGAAATTGTAGGGTCTCTCTCGGCCTCGTTTCTTCCGGCCGCGTCACTTCCGGCCTCGTCTCTTCCGAGATCGTCACTTCCGGCCTCATCACTTCTGGAATTGTCTCTTCCGGCCTCATCACTTCCGGAATTGTCTCTTCCGGCCTCGTCTCTTCCGGCCTCATCACTTCCGGAATCGTCTCATGACCACACTCAGCATGACCACTCACAGCATGACCACTCACAGCATGACCACTCACAGCATGACCACTCTCAGCATGACAACTCACAGCATGACCACTCGCATCATGATCACTCTCATCACAACCACACTCTGCATGTTCATCATCCTCCTCATCACCAGAGCTTGTGAACTCGTAGTCAAGTTCCAAGTCGTCGCAGTCTGTGGAGGAATAATTCACTAGAATATCAGAGTGTACGGAATAACTTTCATTAGTGATGGTTTCCAACACTTAAATCATAGACAAATTCTTAATACAACGAGAAAAACTATTTTTCCTCCTGTAATAACATACATAAATAGATATATATTTAATAAGTTATATAACAAAATTATTAAGTTAATTCTTGCACAATCAATTGACTATCCAACATAAGTGCGTGAAGGAGAAAAAATAAGATTCTTGTTCCTAATAACAGCAGTAAAAAAAATTCAACAAATGTACCATGTTATGACTCAGATTTTAAATCTCTTTACAAATATTGTTCAGCTAATTTGAAGAAAAAATAAATAGAATAAAAAATGAAGTTCAAGTTTTAAAGAGCTCAGACAAACTTAAAAAAATCACAATATGGACTTTGATATGAAAAAGATATATGGTGGTCATTTCCCTTATTTCATATCTTGGTGATGTGTCTCAATAAACTATAAAGCAAGTAGCAGAACCTAGTATTGAATACATATACATTATCAAATTGGAGGATTATTTTTGTAACCCAAATTGCAGTGTGTGTTTTTAAATTTCTATCATTAAAATTATCTCACATCATAAGCATAATGGCCATCATCATGGCTTCAAAAAATGGTGGCTAAGTTATTGAAAAATCAATCTAGTTCACTTGCTGAGTCACCTGCTGGACCTGTTCATTTATTATACCTACTGTATGCCACCTTGAGTAGTCCATACAAGAAGCCTTAGTGAGGGGAGATGGCAAATTGTGATGGAGAAGTTTGCTATTCAAAATTCTAAGGACAGAATTGTCTCACATAGATAAAAATCTACCCTTTAAATACCACACACTCAAAGAATGATATGCATTTTTTATGCATCAACCATAAAATTGGTAAAAATACAATAATTTACTTACCCATGGTACAATGTCATCACCAAACTCTTGGCAAAGCAGATCAAGCAGTTCGTTTTCCTCACTTAGATAAAGAATGTTGATATTCAGAATATTGAGTTATTCACCAATCAAATGAATGTTAATATGAAGAAGTCTGCAAAAACAAATGATAATAATAAGGCAAACATTTTCTATTTAACAACAACCAGGTATACATGCACCTGCACTAAGTCACATATTTTGGAAAATTTTAATATTATGTGGCTTAAAAAAATTGTCTAACCAACAATTAGATAGATCATTCACCAATCAGAAATCTCTTGACTTCAAAAATGGCAGGAAACATACTTGTATATAGTAGCAAAAAAGAGCTACTATATTTTCCTTGCCACTCTTTTCTGATTTCTCCAAGCTTCATCCAAAACCTTATGCATGAAAATTTAAATTACCATTCAAGTACATGATTCATTTACCATCAATGACATAAGAGTCACCACATTACAGGTACTGCACTCAACTTGCCACTCCGTGATAAAACTACCAACATATTGGTAGTATATTGCAGTCAAAGAGCAATAAAGAGCTGTTTTCTCCAGGTTCAGAGTCACTCGGTTGAACCCTGAGGTTGCTGTTTGACTTCCATGCCTGCATGCATGTAGATGGGCCATGCAAGACATGAGGCAATCCTGTCTACAGTGGCGTCTTTGGAACTGATGAATGACAAATGTTGTAATCTCCCCAAATTGGAAAAGTTTTGCATTTATTGGCAGGGTTGGCAATGATTAAATCAAACTGATTAAATCATGTAAATAAAGCACTTGATTTTTACTAAAAATCATGATTTTTTTATTTTTTATATGTTTAAATATATTGAGTGGCAGTCTTCAATTTATTTTGATGTACTGTTAATCATGGTTTAGTATAAATGTACTATGACAAATTGGAATATAAACCTGTTGCCTTTAGTCTTAGTGTATACCGTACAGTATTACGTTCCAATGAATTGTATGTTTTTGGTACAGAGGCATCAAGTGTTGCAATACATTGTACATATAACATAGCTAGCAGCTTAGCTAATTCTCATTCGGATATAAGAAGTCTTAAACTCACTATTTGACAATTTGTCATATATTTATCACATTATACAATTAACATGTGTTAGCTAGCTTATATAAGAAGGGTCGGTTGAGATTGTAGTGACCTTTTAGGCATTTAGAAAGATTTTCGACTCTAATATAAGTACCGTAAAATGGGGTAACTTAGACTTCTGCGGTAACATAGACCACTTTTAGTTTTTTTAACAAAAACCCCCAAAACTCAAAAGCTATTTGACACAGAAAAATTTGGTCAATGGGCATTAAAGGCCTAATACTGAGGCTACGTAACACAATAGAAAGATAAAAAAATTATGCATATCTAATAGGTTAAAAAATGAAAAATGTGACTCATGAAAAATAGCTATTATTTAAAGCGTCATAGAACCCCTCCAATTTTTTTATTTTTTGGTAAAATAATGCCAGGTTTTGGTGCATTGTAGTAGAACTCTTCTAGTTACATATGCAAATGACAAATTTGAGGAAAGTGACATAGTTTGCAAATGGGGTGGCACTGCCCCCAAATGGAGGAACTTAGACCACCTAATGTCAGCCCTGCTGGGGTAACATAGACCAGCTTGGAAATTAATTTAAAATTACCATATATAACATATTTCATGTTTGATACACCTATTAATGTTATTTCTTTAGCTTTCAGACTATACAGTCTTATATATGGTAATTTTAACTCAATTTCCAAGCCGGTCAATATTACTCCTTCACGGCTGACATTAGGTGGTCTAAGTTCCCCCATTCGGGAGCGGCACCCCCATTTGCAAACTATGACACTTTCCTCAAATTTGTCATTTGCATATGTAACTAGAAGAGTTATACTACAATGCACCAAAACCTGGAGTTAATTTACCAAAAAATATAATTGATTTTACCACCCAGTCTAAGATACCCCAAGAGCTGGGGTAACAAAGACCATCACTTTCTTTGAAATTACATAAAAACTATGAGAGGCAGGAGCCAGTAATTTATGGTGAGTGAACCTAGTGTATAGACCCATATTTTCATGTTTCAATTTAAGTTTAATTTAGCTTGTAAAAAAATGGCATCATTTAAAAAAAAGTAGTCTAAGTTACCCCATTTTACGATATTCTAATTAAAATATTTAATTTCAATCTTTAAATATGTGAATTTATAACTAGAAACATATCAATTACAATTATACAACTATATATAATATAATTAAATGCAGTGAATGGAAATAAAATGTTTGAATTGTGTACATGTTTATTTCAAGCAGTGTTAGCTTTTCTCAGAACATAAGTCTTGTTTAAAGTTATTTGAGGTTTGTTTGGTTGTCATTCAGATTATCTTTAGTATTGGTTAATTGGTCTGAATCAAATGAGAACAGTGCAATCAGTCACTCAGTCACTACTTAGTCAGTAGTCAGTGTGCGTAGAGGGTAGAGTCTGGTAGATTTATAGGACATGACACTAGTAGATCTATTGATAGTGTTGTGCACTGTGCTATCAGCTACCTATCTGTTATGTTACTCTTCAATGTTTAGAAGATCTGCATTCCTGAAGTATTGTTGTATATTGAAGCCAGTTAAATGGCCAATGTCTAGCTCATTACCTTCTTTGCTCCATACATACTTTACAAAGCTAATGAATAGACTTGTCAATAATTGTTTATCCAAAAATCCCAAAGTGGTAAACACCACCTTGGCCATTCTTGAAGGCAAGAACTGTCCATTTTAGCCATCCATATTCTTAGTAGGCTAATTGCAACTTAAAAAATTAAATTTCAAAAAGACAAAAAAGCTGAAAAAATAAAAAAAAATCACTAACAACCCTGTTTATTGGTAAGAAGTAAGAACTAGTGATAAGATGCCAACTGGGCAAAATCCAGGGAATGAAAGTTCATTTATATATTAAAGTTAGACATGAATTTGTAGTTTGTTTGGTTAGGCATGCCTATATTTCTCAATATATATACTTTCAAAGCTGCAACTAAAGTTTTCTCCTCATTTTTTGAAGCCATGAGATTCTCACTAGATAAATTTTCTGTTATCTCATTGCTAACATAAGTGCATGATTGAGCCACTTGATTCCACAAAAATTGAGCATATGTTACTTGAAGCTAGAAGAATTCAGTAATAATGAGTTTTTCAATCTAATTGAGATAAAATCTTTGTGAAATAAACATGCACTTCTTGCTCAGAACTACATTTATTAGGGTTCAATCATCACATTAATTACAAAGCTGTTTTGATTGTGTTTAAAAGTTAGTTTAGCATAAAGAATAGATTGTTTATTGAAATTCCAATGTGGAATATCATGCAGAGTTTTCCAAAATTGCAGATGAAAACAATTGCTTTATGGGCGACTTTCAAAATCCCAGTCAAAAATGAGTCATTTACAATTGCTTCATGGATGACTTTCAAAATCCCAGTCAAAAATGGGTCATTTATCTCAAAGGCTTTCCAGAAACATTAGCACTATTAGAATGGGTAAAATTGCCAATGTGAAAAGGCATTCTTGTCTCATTTATTCATTGTCATTTGACACAACACACCAGACTGTGAAAATAGTAAGTTTCATCTTAAATTTTTAACTGCAACTATGTTAGGTACGCTCAAGTATCAATGCTCAAAAATTTTCCAAAATATAGAAATAGCATAGGTTCTAAAGTAGCTGATATAAAAATCATCTGGAATACCAGAAATATCAAACAGATTTCTTTTAAATTGCAGCTGAAAACTATTTTTCACAGGCAATATAAGAAATTCATGCAAAAAATGCCAGTT